AAAAGCCCACAATAAACCCCGTTTCCCCACCCCCCCCCCCCCAAAAAAAAAAAGACCACAACTACTCAAGCTTTGAATGCTTGCTAGCACTTTAGCACCTGAGTCCTTGTTGGTGATCACCAATACTAAGCCTCAGAAGAACAAGCCCCAAATGTGACATGGTTGGCGTAAATATGGCAATTCCAGTACTCAAGAGGCTGATGTAGAAGCATGGAGAATTTGAGGCCAGCCTAAGCTCTGGAAGGCCCTGACTCAGATAGGTAACAGGATTCTACCTGGCAGAAAAAAAGAAATGAAAGACAAATGTCAACCGATATGAACTGTATCTTTGTTGAGGCTAGCTTATGAGCTCAAGAGATTCTTACAGCTGGGCAGTGGTGGTGCATGCCTCTAATCCCAGCACCCTGGAGTCAGAGGATCTCTGAGTTCAAGGCCAGCCTGGTCTACAGAGGGAGTCTAGGACATCCAGGGCTGTTAACACTGAGAAACCCTATCTCAAAAAACCAACTGCCCCTGCCAAAAATAGAGATCTTTGCACCTCAGTCCCTGCAGTAGGTGGGGACACAGGCTGTGTCAGGCATGAATGTCCCTCAAAAAGTAGGAGCAGCCAATTCCAGTCATTACTCAAGTTCCCTGTAGTTCTATCATCTGCACCCACTGAACTCGGCCAAATCAGACTAAAAGCATTGTTCTCCATACTAAATATGCAGACCTTTTACACTTCAGTATTCCCTGAACAACACTGAGAAGCTACAAAGCATTGCAGTGTTCTGTATTAGAATCTGGAGATGATATTTGTTTTTGAGACAAAGTTTTCAATAGCCCAGACTGGCCTAGAAATAATGCTCCTGCCTCCACCCCGAGTGCAAGGATCACAAGCCTGAACCACTCCACTCAGCTATGGAGATGACTCTCAGCACACTGGACAGTATGTGGGGGTTATCCGCATCTGAGAAAAGGGGTAGGTTGGAAAAGATGTAGGGTTTCTTTCTAGAATTACAGTGATAACTGCTTAACTGTGAATCCACTAAAAAAATCACTGGGCATCTGGATAAGGTTGATGTGTTCCGTGCCTCAGGCCCAGGCTTTAGGCCCCAGCACTCCTTTAACAAAACATCATATACACTGATGGGTGGGTGAAATATGATTTTCAAATGAAGCTACTAATAAGCAGGTTCAGCCCTGACCATCTGACCTGAGACCACTGCCACTGGGCCTCAGTCATCTCAGTGAGGAAGTGCCTTCTGGTCATCAAGATCCCAAGGCCTGTTGGTCATCAATGAGGAAGGTGGATCTCTGTGAGTTCCAGGCCAGCCTACATAGCAAGACCTTGTCAAGAAAAAAACAAAAAACAAACAAAAAAAACAACTCAAGGCCTGATCTGATCTAGACTGTAACCTAGGATTCCTTTCCTAGAATTTTGATTTGCTCATTTGAGGGCTGGAGATCAACATCTCTAACCTGAAAGGTGGGTTATCTGGAGCCCTCAGTCAGCTCTAAGCTGAACCCTGACCTGGACACTTACCAGTTCTGACAGTGGGTGTTTCATGCATCCACCTGAGCTTCAGCTTAAGAGTGGGGGACAGGTCTGGGCCTCCAACTTCACCTCCAGCTACTACAGAGCTATCTGGCCCAAGTGTTACAGTTCAATCTATGGCTTTGTACACTCTGTAAGCACACTAGACTAGACTCTATGGTACCTTGTTGGCTTTGGTGGAAGGACCTCAGGGTTCCAAATGAGAAGGATGTGAAGTTAGGCACTTACGTTCCAAGAGTGCCATGCACCTCCTTTCTTGTCTCCCTGGCCCACCTGACAGGTGCAAACCTGAGGCTCAGGGCTGAGTGAATGGAGCTGGACTGAGTCAGCATAACAGCCCTGAATGGTGAAGGTCATTCTTGGGACAGGAAATAGGCTGGTCTCCCAAGAGCAGGTTTAAAGTTGGAACGTGGAAAGCAATGGGTTTCATGAGCCGCCTGTGGCAGGGTTCCTACTTTGCAGTAGTTTCTAAGAGCTAATCAGGGGGAAAGGGAGGTGGAATCAGCCAACCTCAAGTCCCTAGCTGGAGAGGGAGCTGGCAAGCTCAGATACCCTGAGGATCACAGCTGCTTGAGTGCTGGCGGTAGGACAGGCCAATATGGAGGACCTGCAGGTGCCCATGGTAGCTACCACCCTCCAGGGTTCATCTCTGATTGTTCAGGGTGCCAGGGGCCAAGGATTTCACTCCATCTCAATCTGGGGCTCTTGTGCTAGGATGGGAAGCTGGCTTGGGTCCCTTCAGGGAGCCATCTGCATCCCACACAGCCCAGCACTAGGCTGCTCCCACAAAAGATGGGGAAGGATACTGACCCACACCCTGCCCCCATCTTCCACCTGACCCACAAGAGCAGCTTAATGTTTCCATATAAAGGAGCGACAGGGCTTAAGGTACTTCAACTTCACGTCAAAGTCACTATATAATCTGAAGCCAAAAAACCTGCCCCTCCCATTCACACAAGGTGGCACCCCTACCCCTGTCAAGTAATGAGGACAGAGGGTGATGAGGGAGCACCAAAGGAGGCCACTGATCAAGCAGAGACAGGAACTCTTGTCCTTTTCTGGTCTCCAAGGCAGCCAGACAACCCAGCGATACTGGGGTCACTGGGCCCAAAGAAGATGCAAAGTCACAGTGGCATGAACTGGGAGGAATAGAGACCCAGAAAGAATGACAAGAGACAGAAACAGACATATAGAGAAAGGGACAGAGACTCAAAAGAAATAGAAGGTCACAGTAGTGTGAGCTGGGGGACAGAGATGGAAAGGGAGTGGGGCAGAAGCAGACTCAGAAAAACATGGAGAGAGGGACAGAGACTCAGAGAAAGAAACAGGACACAGTGACATGAGCTGGGGGGACAGAGATGCAAAAGGGGGTGGGGGCAGAGAGAGAGAGAGAGACAGAAAGTGACAAAAGACCAAGCCAGAGAAAGAGACAGAGGGAGGAACAGACACAAAGATCCAGACCCACACCCAAGAGAGAGAGAGAGAGAGACAGAGACAGAGACAGAGACAGACAGACAGTCTTTGGTGGGGGGAAGGGGGAACAGGCAGACAGGACCAAGAGAGGTCAGTAGACAAAGAGGCTGAGTAAGACTTAGAAGAGAAACGAAGTTCATGTCTTATGAAATGGAGACAGGAAGAGTGAGGGGCTGCCTCTCAAAGGGAGGCAGA